TGGAAATGCATATTTCAAATCATTTTTTTTTATTTATATAATACGTATTACAGCACATCCGTGTACAACCATAAATCAAACTACGTACTTCGTATTACGTACGTATTATACTACTACTCCAAGTCATTATTTTAGAAACAATAATAGTTCAAGCCTCCGTGGTCTCCTTTAAAAATAACTTTGCAAACTGCCAATACGTAAATGTAATTTATTGGGTGACAACAAAACTGATGATAGAGAGCCTGTATGATTTTTCGGTTAACCAATAAATGGTTAACCTATATTATGGTTAATTGTTTACCCGGTTAACCGTTGTTATGGTACGGTTAATGGTATTATAAATATACCAACCGATATCTCGGTTAACCATAAGTTGGTTAACCGCAATACGGTTAACCAACCGTGCCCACTCCTATCCCACGGTATACGAACTGATGTACTAGTATTATTTTATACTGCTTATTTAGTTTTACGAAAGGAATATCAGCTAAATGATTGATTACTCCCTTCAAGGCTTCAATTCGTCCTACCGAAGTGTGCATTTTCCCCCTTGTAAATAATTTGTGATTATAATTTTTCTATTTCATTTGCACAATTCTTAACCAAATACGAAGTAATAATTTTTACTTTTTCATAGTTCACATCTAACACAAATTTGACGATGTCCAATAAGATGAAATCATGAAAGTATGGTTGAGAAAATATACTTAAATTTCGGTATAGCGGTCATACCAGGATCAGTGATGACTAACCAGTAAAGGTATACACTTGTTAAAAAATTTGGTATGCTTCGGTACACCCAAAGGCCGAAGCCATTAAATGAAACTAGTAAACTACATCAAGGCCCAAAATGAGAAACTAACTCATCTCGCAATTTATACTGTGTGATTGGCCCACCATGAGCATGGCGTGCCGATCCCAAAATCATGCCGTTTCATTAATTAAAAAAAAAGCATAGCGCGAGAGAGCAAATAGCTGCCGCGGAAGAAGAAGCGTGATTGCGGTTGAGAAAGAAGAAGCGTGACAGCGTGAGCTCTGGCCTGGCTAGCTCCTCATCATTCACCGATTAGAAAGCTACGGCTGAGAAACTATGCTCTCCCATCCCTTCTGACTTTAGGTTTAGCAGCAGCTTCTCCTATGCTCCACTATTGAAGAATTGATGATTGGTTGATTGTTTAATTTTTTTGAAAAATTTGTATGATGATTGTTAAAAATGGATGATTGTTTGATGATTGTTTATTTATATTTTGATTTGACTCAAATTACATTTGAAAATACATGCGGTTACATAAGAATTTGCCGAAAGGTACATATCTTATATCGTGAGTTACATGTCAACTTTTCGTAACAAGTTACATCATGTTTACACTTGATTTACATTTTCCAAAACGTGTGTTACATTACAATATAATGCGACTTTCACAACTCAATAAACACCTGCTATTCAAATAAATACTCCGTATTATGTTTATAAAGAAAATTATTTTTATAGCCCTAACATTAAAAACAAAACATATACATTATTCATGCAAAATATTTGGGCCATTAGACTCTTTTTCTCCATTGAAATCAATATTTTATTTTCTATATCATGTCTTAGACAAGTTACATTTCAAATAAACTTGAGTTACATTCATCAATAACGTAAGTTACATTTCTTTACACGTGAGTTACATCATTATGCTACTGGAAGTCTGGAACAAGGAAAAAAAGTACTATTCATGCGTTTACAGTTCACGCGATTTTTATTTTATTTTAAATTGATTAAAACTACGTCGTTTTGGACTGGGGGCATGGTGCTCACCGTGGGATGATCCCATGGTATAGGAACTGAACTCATCTTAGTATTAGCGGTACCGTAACGACCTTGAGACTTGAGTCACTAATCAAAGTCAAGCACTCACCAGTCAAGCCAAGCTTCTCTTCTCCCAAGTCCGCCATTGAAGACTAATATGGTGCGGAGCTGGAGCCACAGATAATAGCGGACGCCATTGAAGAAGCACAGAGCCTCGAATGACCTTCACTACTTGACCGTCACTGCTTATTTTTAATATAAGAATTAGAAAAATGTTCTAGGAATCCCCCTCCCCCCGTGATATTAAACCTAGGCTCGTTCATATTAATAATTTGCTAGTGTCAACATTCATCCTGTAAAAAATATAAAGTATACTGATTACTGATTAGCGCACACTCATAATATTTTATGCAAATTTTAGTTTTAGTATGGTGATTCCCATAACCTAGCAAACATTTTAGTGGGGATATCTTTATTTTAGTATTCACTATTTAACATTTTAATCTGAATTTTCGGTGTAAACAACTTGGGAAATGTTAAACCGAAAATTGTCTGTGACAACTTAAAATTTAGATTACAAGTTAAAATTCATACAACTTAAAAGGAGTTGTCTGTGACAGATAACTTGTCTGCAAATGACAGACAAGTGTACACAAAAGGTGTACACATTTTGTGTACACCTAGCAAAACTCGATCAATTTTTAATTTTGTAAATAAATCTGAACTATTAAATTTTAAATTTAATTTCAAACCTAACCAAAACAACAAAAAGGACAATAATTTAGGCCTGATCCCTGTTGCATAGAGAACATGTGCTACGTAGTACAAAATAATGGAGTACTCCGTAATAATTCAAATTCAGGTAAAATGCGACATTTGCATGGAAGCAACCATAATCATCAATGCTAGGTCAACAGATAGATACACATTCCTTTCAAAAATAAAAGGATAGATAGACACTAGGCAATTGAACAGTTACATGCACATTGGGCAATTATCAAAGTTACCCTCAAATTACTTTATACTCCTCCGGTCCAATTGAACTTTGCCAACTTTCCCTTTTTTGTTGTCCCAAAAAACTTTGTCACTTTCCTATTAAAGCAACTAATTTGTGATTCTGCATATTTCTCTCTCCTCTGCACAAATCTCAACCACACAATTTTTATTATTTTTATTTCTCACCTACTTTACACTTGGCAAAGTCCATCCGTCACGGAGGTAGTATTAAACGTAAAAAAAAAGGTTAAAAACATGCTCCGGTGTTTCTACTACTACGTATGTGTCTATGTGCTATGTGCATATCAGCATATGCCACATGTCGTCGCACAGAATGTCCAAACATTACTCTCAAAGATGGGGTAGTCTAGTGATATGAAACCATATGGGCTATAAAGGCGTATCCATTATGGCGCAGCTGCCCCATTAGACTTTTTAGTAAAATCCGAACTAACATACTGGAGTATCTTATAAAACTAATTGCGATGTAAATAGCCTGGTTTACTAGAAAGTGTGTTGATTGATTGCAAATTATTTCATTGTTAAGATTGTCTTATTTTTCTTTTTCCATATGTCTTACCAGGATTGTCTCATATCAATTTTGATAAGATTTGTGTGATTCTAAATCATTCTTTTTTTACTTTATCATTCAATATCAATCACGCAAATCAACTTTTCTTAATAATTGTCTCATCGTTTCATGTATGAATTTAGTGTGATGTAGGTAGCATCATATAAAATTGATTGATGTAGTCTAATCTCGTTTAGTTTGAAATTGAAATTAATCCAATTAAGCAATGTAAGTCACTCTAATTTGCAACTTGCAAGCGTTACCGGCAAACGGAGTAGTCTAAAAGGTCTAAATGCTATGATCACTCAACTTTGTAAAGTATAAACTATAAATTACAAAGTTTAGTAAATTGAAGACAGTATTAGTAAATCATGGGAGAAAACAAAAAAATAAGAGTAGTTTTTTCAAATTTCTCAGGAGTATTTTTTCATGCTTAATGTGGATACCCTTACAGGGTTTAATTTGGGCCAGCCACCGGCCACATTGTTGTCGGATTCACTGCCGGAACTCCACCGCTGTCGGTCGCCGGAATTTGCCACGGTACCGCTGAAAATATCATTAATTCATCTGCCCCTTATCTGACTGTGGTGCCGATCGCTAGAGTTCCGCTACCACCACCACGACTGAACTGACCTAGTAATGCAACGGAACGTTGGGCAATTAATCATATACGTAGTATTAATTAATTAGTTTAGAAGTGTTTTTTTAAAGGAGATTAGAAGTATTAGGAGTAGAAAGTTAATGTTTATTCCTATTTAAGCCATATTTAGCATGTAGTCCTGTTAAGGGTAGTTAATTTTAATGTAACTGAATTTGTTCCACTTCACTACTTAACTAAGTATACATGAATGTGCAATGCACACAACCTAATATCATCTACAATGCAAAAACGTGAACATTAATGCATACATGACATAAAAAGATAGCTATGCGCGCAAAACTACTACTTAACACGAAGTATATATGTAGAACATCTCTCCTTATTTGAACAGCGCAGCTTTGTATGTTTTTGGTAAAGTTTTCTTTACGATTTCTATATTACTATGAAGCTTAATATAGAAATGGAAAACTTTTTCTTTGTACAAAATTTAGATTTGTCACCATTAAATAATTTATATTGCCTCCTATAACAGTCATTTTGTACAAGATGGACCGTGATGATATTTATAGTTCTGCTTGTTTTATTTGAATTATGAATGATTAAACGAACTCAATGTAATTCAGAGTAAAGTAATCGTTAATTCACGAGTGAAATGTTAATAGTACATCAAATAACTACGTAGTATTATTTTTGTCGATAGCTTAGTCAGTTTTCAAAATAGTAAATATTCCCTCTGTTCCGTTATGATTGTCTCATTTTACCATTTCGGTCCGTCCCACTAAGATTGTCACATACCTTATTTAATTTGGTAAAGTTTGTGTGGTTCTAAATCATTCCTACTTTATTTTTACTTTATCAATTCAATAATATCAACCACATAAACTCACTTTTATTAATAACTGTGTCACCTTCTCTTGTCTCAAACTTAGGGGACGGATGTAGTAAATAGAATAAAATAATATAGCAAACAATTTAAATACTCCGTATGTGTCTTTATTTGAGATTGAAAACAAGATGTTGGTGTATATAAATACCTTGCCCACCTTGAACTAGAAATACATTGCACACCTTGAACTTCAATCCTTCCACACCATCAACATTTGTTGCAAAAATTTCGTTTTAAATCTTTCATTTGCTCAGCACAAAAAATGGCAGGTGATCAAGATATTTCATTTTATTTTGATCTGTATGAAGATGACTACCAAGAATTTATTTCTAAAGTAAGGGAAGCGCTAAAATACTCAACGTCCCATAATATCCCAATGTTGATGCCACAAACACAGCCCCTGAGCTGGCTGGATCTTCACCTAACTTCCGGTGAAGCCACCATCATCTTAAGAATGGACAGGAGAAACTTATACTTGCGCGGATATTCCAGAGACGGCGGCCAAACATTCTGGGAGTTCTCAGATTCTTCCCTGATTCCCGGATCCAGACACCTCACTTACAGTGGGAGCTACGCGAGCCGTACAGATTCCGGCAGCACACTTGTGGGTGTTGCCGGAACTACTCGTAGGAAAATATATTTGGGCAGCAGAATTTGGTGGACGACATTCGTAATCTCGCAAGAACCGAAGACCCGACCACCGGCGGCGACGATGTGTCTAGGTGCGCTAAAGCGCTGCTCCGCTTGATTCAAATGTTTCCTGAGTCGATCAGGTTTCAGTCCATCACCCGACACATCGCCACAAATTGGGCCAGCTCTGCTCAGCTACCCGAGGAACTCGTGTTGCTGCAGAACGGTTGGGGCACTCTGTCCAGCGCCGTCCAGCGGGCGGACGAGCCCTGTTGGACTCCGGCCACACCCCTACCCAATATCCCATCCACAAATAATCCCATAAACATTTGGACGGTGGGTCAAGCTGCCGTTGCACTTGGGATCATGCTCTACAAGGGCCGCCATGTCAACCTCATGCTCCTTGCCAACGAACAACTCGCCACCGTCCCGGAAACCGTTGGCGGCGCATCCTATTTCCGTACATTCCTCACTGTCAATTATGTACGTGTGTTGAACATTGATGGAGAGAATCCCGGTGACCTTTACGGTACCGTAAAGGTCACTGACTTCTGGGGCGAACACACCGTGTATGACAGGGCTTCCGGTACGTACCTTAGAACATTTATATTATTCAAACGAATAAATTTTTCCTAATGTATCAATGTTCATCCAGGTGACACCGAAGAGGTATATCCACAAGGACTGATAACGCTTACTGGTCCTTCAACTGCCATTGATGCTGACGATTCCGTCACTATTAGTGTGAGTTTAAAGGACCACGACACTTTGTCCCCGGACGATGAGATTGCGGAGGGAGTCATTGTTTGGGAACCCAGAAATGAGAATCTAACATTCGCCAACTACGGCAAGCTTTTGGAGAAGGTGGTGAAAGGACAGTACGGCAGCGTTGCGGTTGGTTACTCTGTCACAAGATTCGCTATGAATGCCACCGTTAGCGTGGTGTTGATCGACGGAGACGGAGAATCACCTGCGGATGTGTATGGAACCATCAAAGCCACCTCCGTACCTGCAGACAATGGTTCTCCATCATTGATCACTTTGTTTGAGAAATCGGCAGGTGACTGCATCAAAGTCAACCCCCAGGAGGAAATTCCGTTGACTCGATCTGCTGTGGTGGTTCCAATGGATGACGGGGTGACCATTTCTGCGTATCTGTATGATCATGATTCAGTCTCAGTTGATGATGAAATTGCTGCCGGTAGTGTATCCTTTCACCCCTCTGCTCCTGGAACCATTTCCTCTACCATAAGTGGTGCATATGGTAAAGTCCAAGTCTCAATCACTGCCGACTAGTCATGATAACTCGTATTAAATGGTATCATGATCGAGTAATGTACCCTTGCCCTGGTATGGTATAATGTCTGATAAATAAAAATAAATAAATAAATAAATATATATATAAATAAATAAAAAAGGAAGCTAAGTTTGTAGCATTTAGCCATTTACGCCATCCCATCATCTATTTGACTGTATGATTGTATCTCTCTGTGTGTGACAAATCTTGGTAATAATATACTCCATTACGACTTCCCCTCAGCCATTTAAGTAATGACAATTAATGCTCTCATAGGCACAATGGTACACAACCAGTAGTATTAAAAGAAGAGTGTCCCTCTTTATTGGACACAAAAGAACAAGTGTACACTTTGTACATAAGCTTAATGCCTCAGAGTTGCCATTTGCTTTCAACAAGCTAGTGATATACAAAACTAGTGCAGAAAGAACCAGGCTGCGCTTAGAGCTTAGAGAGAGTACTTGTTAGTATGGTCATCTAGTTTAAAGCGGCAGCATTTCCGCACCCTGGGAATTCCTTGAATTCATAGAGAGAATGCACAGCCACTGAGGAAGGAAAAAATAAACGCCAAGAAACACAAGAACCCCTAAATCAGCTTCTTCACCGACTGCAGGCCGCCGAGGGTTCATCACGTAAATTTGGCTTCCACACCATAAGCAGTACAAGCTAGCAATTGCCAGGATGAGTCTCGCCGACTGATAGCACTGTTTCTTAATCCGTTTTGAGGGGCTCACCCTGCAGGATACCAACCAGGAGGAAAACAAAAAAGAGAGGATGGAGGCATTAAACAACTAAATATATTTTTGAATTGTAAAAAATCTTTTGCACAAATTGTAAATAGCATAAGACCTGTTAATATACACAAAGCCTCCGATCAATAATATGCACAGAAGGCTAATTATAACAACAGCATCCGGATTGATGGGAGCTCGTCCTTTCCACCAACCTGTGCTCAATATCCAAGTATACATGGATGAATGCCCATTTTCCTGTTTCAAGTAGTTATGGCAAAAATGGGAAAACAAGTAAGATAACTTCATATTGCATGAGAAACATAAACTTAATAGCGAATCTCAGTTGTGCTAATATTAGAGGGCGTTAAAAACTAACTAACTGTAATGGAGTCCTACATAATTTTACTTCATGAGCTTGTCTTGCTTTATGTGTTCTTTCAAAAAGTTCACTCAAGGAAGAACAAACGTTTACATATACTATGTTCTCATTTCATCGAAAAACCAAGGAAAAGAAGGCGACAAAATAACCATCACTTGCAATTTTATGTCAAGCAGTTTTGCTTTCACTCCCAAAAATCTCTCCCTTCTCAAATAACCTGAGACCCCATAACCAAACTGCAAGATATATAATATGAAGTTTGTTAGCTTCATAGCATCCCTAACTGATGGTAAATTTTCCATTTTTAAATTAGATCCATCACTAGCCTAACAATCCATTTTGTTGCAAACGTTCAGTATCACTGGAAGATGATGATCAGGACTGAACTATGCTTTTGAAAACACACTTGACAGGATCAAATGCATCTGTTCTTACATTTGTGCTCAGTGATGTCATTACTCATGTGTTAAAGCACTGCTTGTAAGGAACTCTAATATTGGATGGCTGTATAAATGGTAAATACACATAATGGGGGAAATACTAATGGTTGGATAACTTTTGATGCTACAAAATTGCTAAATGAAAGATGAACATCAAGTTTTGGATTTCTAACTAAATCTTATAGGGAATTGATTAAGGTACAAAAAGTGGAAAGATTTTAATAAAAACCAAAGAATATCTTTCTGTTTACATCACAATAAAAAAATCCACTTTTGATTCATTAAATATCGCTCTAAGGACACCCTAAACCGCAACACATCATTTACCTTAAACATTGCTCTATCAGATATATCATATTAAATCCTACACCCAAAAAAATCCTCTTCCAAATGCATATTTTTTTCTCAAAAAAGAGTCTACTTAAGTTAAATAAATCTGTTTTTCATGTGACTTGTCAATGAAATGCCAAAAAAGAGTCGCAAAGAAGTTACATCTTTTAAACTTAGCTCAACAAATAAATCAATTACGAATATATAATAATATATATTTGATACTAGTGCCTTACAAAAAAAGCTTCTTCATTCCTCTAAGGAGGCTGCATTGTATATTTTTATTTAAACCCTTCTTCTTCTTCATCTTTAATTGTCTAGAAAAAAACTAAAATTATAATTTCAAATAAAATAAACACACTAGCTAGTCACATTAAACAAACAGCAGCTGCTAAAATAATTGCTGCCACAATGTAATCGGAACTGAGTGACAAGTTTTACCTCAAACAAATGGTCCAAGAAGAAATGTGATAAAGAACCAGCAGCCACCAACAAAAAACACTGCATCTTTGTAAGAGGAACCTGCAAAGGAAAATACAGTTAAGTCCAAATTGGCATATATAAAGATGACTTTTTTCTTAGGCTACATACAATTTTTTTTGAAAACTTTAAGGCAGACCCCAGAAATGGAATCAAGGAACCCTTTGCGGAGGAGGAACTTGGAGGCCCAGCTGTAGAGCAGAGAAAGTGGGAAGCCCAGAATGAGGAAATAGCAGAAAGGGTCGTGGATCCATGGCTCAATTGAGGAGCCTAAATCCCCGCCGAGCCCGAGAGTAGACGATAACCACTCGCAGAAGGAACCAATGTCCGGCCCGAAGAAAGCATTGATGGAGTAGGTAAGGCAGTGGTGAGGGCTGAAGTGGCCGTTAGATGTGCTCATCAAGGCCAGCCCAGATCCGAGTGTGTATATCATGTGCGGACCCGGACCGGGCATTCTTGTTTTCCCGGCGGCGTCTTTTTTACTTTTGTTGAGAACTACGGCGGCGTACGGTTCATTTAGCAGCTAGCACCTCGCCCCAGATTATCGACCGGCTGTCGTTTGGTACCCTACAGACATAAAGGAATTCTAATTTCTAAACTGTTGCAGACTTACAGCTCAATCAATTGACTTCGACCCCTTACCGCCAAAATCAGTTGATTTGGCTGATTCTGTCAAATCATTCTGTCAAATCCGTTTATAACGAGACCTGTTTAGAGACACTGTTTTTCGATTTATAAGGGTTATCAGTCAACTTTTTCATCAAACACGTAATTTTTGCTTTCACGCATTGAATTATGTAATAAGCAGAAAAAGTAAGGTTGAAGTTACTTTTCTGGCTGTATTGGCTCAAGTTACTGTAGATGACCATTAGCTATTTTTACTTATAATTTTTTCTTTATTTTATTAATAAATATATTTTAAAAATAATTTTTTCTTAAATCAGCAGAATCAGCCAATGCAGCCACTTCAACCAGAACATCATAAATTTCAGCAGAATCAGCCAAAACAGCTGATTTTGGTGCTACCAAACGGGCTCAAAGTTCTGATTGCATTGGCTGCATTGGTTGATTCTGTTGATTTAAAAAAGAATTATTTTTAAAATATATTTTATTAACAAATAAAGAAAAAAATTATATGTAAAAACAATTAAATGATCATCTACAGTAACTTCAGCCAATACAGTCAGAAAAGTAATTCCAACCTTACTTTATCTGCTTATTACACAATTCAGCGTGCGAAAGCAAAAATTATGCGTTTGGTGAAAAAGCTGACTGATAAGTCTGATAAGCCAAAAACAGTGTTGTCAAACGGCTCTTCATCTGTTCTACACTTGTACTCATTTTCAATAGAAAATCAATTGAGAATTTCAGATTAAGGAGTATGATTAATTTAAAGTTGCTGTGTAAAACTATCGAGTAATACTGGATATCGAGTATTGATGATGGTGTTTGGAACTCATTCTCCTTCTCTTTAAAGTAGAAGCAGAATTAGAATCTGTTTTTCGGAAGTTGGTCTCCCCCAGTTTCTAAAAAAATGATTTTAGGAGTAAATTAGAGCATCAGAAATACTTCTCACTTTCACGGTTTCACCTAAACACTCCAACTTTTTCTTCTACTCCCCGAAGGAGCAGAAGCAATTTTAAGAATCATATCCAAACACCGCCTAAGAAATACCAAGTAATATAAACTCTCAAGATGCATATTATCCCGCTAGTGTGCCCTAACTCTTACAAATCTCTAGGTCCGCCACTGTCTGTTGTATAGACTCTTCAAGATACTTTCTTAGTTTGAATCCATTTCCACACCAAAGTGTCACACGGTTCCGACATCTCCGTTTGAGAAGATGTACCATCTCTTATCAATTTATATTTACATTCATATTTACTTTTACCATCTCGTGATATAAAAAGAAGTGTATGAAGCTAGACTCGGCCATTGGAACTTTCATTTTTTAGACACATTACTTGAAAGCGCCTAATAATCCACAATTTCTGAAGAGCACATTTTTCACTGCACGAATGAGAGAGTTCAGAACATCAATACCACAAACATATCATGGGCTAGATTAAAATTGTATAACCAACTTCGACGTCAAAAAACTCAATCATGTAATTACCATGCATCTCTAGTGAAAACTCCAAAAAAAATTAAAATTTCCCAATTTGAACCATTTGTTTGATTGCAGTCACGAGAATTGATCGAATTTCCATTTCCCCGAAGATTTCATAATTTAACTTTTAAAACTATTGGTCCCGAGAAGAAATTAGAAGCCTCATAATTGTAAAGATTAGTAGCTACATTTTGAGTACTCCAAGGAGCTGAAACATGGGTTTTGTACGCATGTATATCTAATATCGGAAAATTAGAAATTGAAGGCTTTTGGAGATATCGTAATTAACTCCAAGTCCAAGTATCATTCAATTGGGTGAAAACTAATATAGTATTCAATTGTATCTAATTAACGGCACCATTTCTATTAAGTTGTTGGATAAATATAATTATGGAGAAGTCATTGTGATGATAACTACACATTTTATAATGCAATTAGTTGAGTGTTATAATTACAACATGACTAAAAATCACAAATAAGAGTAAATGTTTGAAAATTCCCAAAATATGTTTTTTTTTGTGTTTGGACAAAAATCCAGGACAAAACCAAAACGCCCCTGGTGATACAAAACAAAAATGTGAAACTGTATCGCATGCTACAAACCTGCCAAGTACTAGAGACACACTGCATGACCTGTCAGTTCACATGCATTTTGTATATTGTACAACAAATACTGTACTAGATAGGCATGTTCGAAAAACAATTAAGTATGTAAAATACTACCCCTTTACCCCTTTATCCTGTGCAAAAATTCTCATGCGGGTTAAGATGTTTGAATGACCATAAAGTTAACTGATCCTTTATCGTATTAAGCTTGCTTTTAGTAAATAAAATATATATATTTAGAAACTAAATTAAAAGCTTTAAAAAGTTGGAAAAAAAAACAAATTTGATAAGAGTTGAATATAGTGGACGAGAAGTTTTCAATAGGAGGAATATAGTACGCAATATCTCATTCTTTAGTGGGATAGTTGGGTTTATTGTACTATCGAGGCACTTTCTAATATTTCTGGTATATAGAATACTAGGTTTCAAGCCTGTGCGATGCACAGGTAGTACATAATTTAGCTAATTTTAAATTTGATATTTTCGAAATCATATATAATGGGATGCAAAAGAAAAATAAACTTAATCTAAATATAGAGTTCGTTTGATAATACTAGTAGTAAAATTAGCGAAATCAGCTTATTTTACTGAAATTGATTAAATTCGGGTTGAATCACTTGAATGGCTGAATAGGCAAAATCTCTCAAATCATGAAAATAACTAAAAAATATTTCACTTGTAAAATAAAGAAACAATTATATGGAAAATGTTCAAAATGTTCTTTTACATGAGCATCTCAACTAAACACAATTGTGGTGAACCCATTTTAAAGAATTCATAGAGAGGCTTCTTAATTAATCTCATGTCTTCTAAATTATTTTATTATGCACCTCAATTTTTTTCTTATTCCTCATTGAACTTGGTATAAACTGTGGAGTATTTACTTTTAAATTTGAACAGTAAGATATTACATTTGACTCATTATTTCATCACATTGAAAATGTAAGAAATGGAGTGTTTTTACATTTTACTCATTATTTCGTCACATTGAAAATGATTTTTAATTGTTATGAACGTCTAGATTACTTTAATGAGCATTTCAAAATAATATTTTTCTAATATTTCTCATTCAACTTGGTATGAAATACATATGTTTAAATTTTTATAGTGAATTAGGTTCTTACATTTAACTCAATTTACTTTTGGCTAGACTAAACGTATTAACTTATGAACACACATATGCATGTATGATATCCACTTTCATCCTTATTAAATACTACGTAATAAAGATAAGCTACTTGATTAGAAGTATTCTCTTTATATCATTCTATATATGAATGTCTAATAGTACTAATTTCGCTTTTAATTTCAAAATTTCGGTGGTTATAACTTATAATTTTCATCATTGTGTAAATAATCAAGAAAGCATTAAACGAAGATGTAGAAAAATACGAAGTATTAACACAGTTTCAGATCCGTTGAGGTTTATTCCTTCAACCCCCGGGTCCAACACATAAGCCCAAGGATTTCGAATGGAGTGTGTGATTAAACTAGCCCAACAAGCAGATGATATGGATTAGGAAAGCAGTAAGGTAGCGAGTAAATGATTAGGTATTATTATCTCTTAATAACTCCCTAATACAATACTTTTCGCTAAGGCTCCGTCGGCCGTTCGTCTCACAAGGCAGTAGAAGTGCTGCGAGTAAGAATGCTATAGCTAGAGTGCTAATAATAGAAAGTTGCCAACCCTTTACAATGAAATAAATGCTTCTATTTATACCCGCCAATGGGCAGGTGGCCATGCTGACGTGGAGGCTTGTGGACCGCTTGTGTCCCAACCACCAAATCTTCAGCATTAAATGCACTTCCCGCCAGAATCTAGGTTTCCCGCCTAAATAATGGGGACGTTCGTCCGCCTGGGAAGTGAGCTGGATCACTCCAAGTGACCCTCAAGAGGTTCCGGCTGTTCGTCTCCTGGCCTTGATGGATTCTCACCATGTGGACTGGGTTTCCTCCGATGACTATGGGCTTGCTCAGGAGACGTTCGTCGTCACCCCTGCTGGCCTGTGGTCCTGCTCCTTTCCCCTGCATAGACATTCGTCGGGAGGAGCCGCTGGGCCTGAACTCCCAACCCCAGACGCTCGTCCCTTCCCAAAGAGTATGGGCCTGCGGGCTGGCCTCGTGGTCTGACTGGACGCACGTCTGGTGAAGAAAAGGTTAGTGGGCCGGACCTCGGTTTGGGCCCTTAACCCAACACAAGTCCCCCACTTCTGATGTTCTAAGCATGCGCAGGACATAAGGAAGTATGATCTCTCCTGAGGGTAGGACGTTCGTGACCTGGTACTTGTGTTTATTGCATCAAGTGGAGGCGTATGCTCGTGGTCATGGTGCTTAACAGCTGTCGACGGTTCAGGAAACGAGGTGACGGCTGCTGTAGCGGCGGTGCATTTTCCGAGGAAATGCCATCATTACGCCTTCGCCCCACGCACAGCGCGTGAGCCGGAATACGCTCCCTGCCACGCGTCAGCCCCCCGTTGGCTCCCCCACCGGTGTTTCTCCTATAAATGCCGGGTTTTCCCTCTGGATTAAGGTTCCCGATTTCTGCTCCCTTGCTTCCGAATTTCCGCAGCTCTTCAAGTCTTCTCCCGCTTTCAAGCTCGGCTAACCCCTTTCTAAGGTAACTTCCATCCCCTGCTTCTTTTCCTTGTCTTGAATTCTCGCCGAGATGGTTTCGATGGAGATCTCGTCAAGTTCTGGTTCGGGTTCATCGGGTTCCTCCACGGGCTCCTCTTCTGACTCCGGTTCACGCTCTTCGGGCGAGACTAGCACTTCCGGTAGTTCTGGCTCGGCCCCTACCGTGGGAACTGTTCAGGCCGGGGAAGCCCAAATTGGTGTTGTTAAAATTGTCCCTAGTGAGGAGGGTGCTGATTCGGGGGAACAAG